TTCCACCAATTGGATGTTAAAGTTGCGTTTTAAATGGTGAACTAGAGGAAGAGATTTATATGGTGCAATACTGCAATCGGAGGGTCATGTGGTTACTAGTCAGGAAAACAAAATGTGTAAGTTGATAAAATCTCTATATGATTTGAAACCAGCTCCAAAACAATGAGGAAAAAAATTGATGAAGTGTTATTTATTCATGGTTTTACCAAATTTGATAAGTGTGTATGCACTACATGTGAAAAGGTGTGTGCATTATTATTTGCTTATATGTGGATGACATGTAGTGATTTTGGGTATCCCTTATGACTCTCATATGCACTTAAAAAATTAGAGGTGATCTTGAGGCTCACTATGAGTATGCCCAAATTATTGGATGTTTATTACATTTTATAAATTATACAAGACCCGACATATATAACTTATGTTGTCAGAAGATTGAGCCAATATTCTAATAACCCAAATGGGAATTATTGGACTGCGTTGAGGCGGTTATTGAGATACTTGAGAAGTATCATTAATTATGGTAATTTTTATTGAGATTATCCGTTGTAATCTATTGATACAATGATGATATGTTTTATTGAGAATTATCCATTGTGCTATAATGGTACAACGATGGTATATATTTTGGTGAGAATTATCCGGTGTACTAGAGGCTCACATCGATGTTATATTTTATTGAGAGTTATCCGTTGTATTTCCGGGAAACAATGATGACATCTGAGTCGACTCGCATGAGATAAATTAAAATAGTGGATATCCATTCACCCTTAAAAGTGATGCAATGATGTTTGAGAATGGAATTATTTCCATTAATTTTGTGAAGTTAGAAGGAATTAGCTACCCCTTTAAAAGAAACCCTAGGACGAAAAATGATAACCGAAACATCGAAAGAAATGGGACTAGTGTCACTTGAAACGAATGGGGATGGGAACCCAACTTGTGTGATTGGAGATCCCATGAAGCAAGTTCATATGGGTAATAACAAGTCTTCCATTTAGTTCTGCTAGCCTAACTAAAATTGCCTATTTCAATGATGTGAGATATAGGCTAGAAACCACATTCTTTGAGAGGGTGAGCTAAAAGCTCTTAATGATTATCATAGCCCTTAATTTTAGGGTGGTGTGAAAAAGTGGTACACACTTGATGATATCACCTATATGAGTGTGAGGTGGAGCCGCCTCCATGAAGCATGACAAAACTTCTAGAGCACTCATGAAATTAAACCAAGCACGCACATGGCCTTACGGCGCACACCGGCGTAATAACGAGAAATTGTGCAGGGTGAGACACGACCCCCGTTAAGACCCTGATTTATAGTATCACATATTGAATCACATATTGCTTGACAAATTAATTATATCATGCTAATTCTCAAAATCACTTTTCTTAAAATATAATTGAATTTTCTTTCATATACACTACAAAAAATTCGAGATTGAGATTGAGACAGAGATTCACCAAAAATCATGGAGAGGATTTGTAAGGGATATGCCGAATTCGTGTCAAAAACACTCTGGCACAAGTTTTTCGACACGAAATCATTGCTCAATCCGTGCAAAATACGTGCCAACACCGTAATTTATTTATAGTGATATACCGTCGGTAACGATAGATATACGAAGTAGTGTATAACTGTATACTCCCTCCATCCCTAATTTTTTTTTTTTTACTCCAAGGGGGTTTGAGGGAGGGGGGCTGGGGGGAGCCTGGAGTAATCAGGGCTGAAACTCACTCCATTGAGTTTCACACCCTTGTGTGCCTAGCGGGATTCGAACATGAGACCTCTCGCTAGGCACGGTAACCTCACAACCAGCTAGGCTGGAGTGCTTGGTTTCCCTCCATCCCTAAATAAAAGGCTCTATTTCCTTTTGGGTTGTCCCTATATAAAAGATTCGTTTTTTTTGGCAAACAAAACAGTGCAAAACAATACCACACAATTTTCAAACAATGCAAACAGATATTTCGCCTAAAGATGTGTGTCATTCAAATGGCATCCCCATTCATGTGTTTATTTTGGGATTATTTTGATGATGTGGATGATATTTTTGAAGATCATGATTGAGAAAGTAGGATTATTTAAAGAGATTATTTGGAAGAAAAATCTAGTATCAAATATCAAAACCTCGATTATTAGAGATTATTTAGCTTTCTTTTAGGATGTTTTCTTTTAAACTGTTTTCAGTCCCAGGCCAGACCAGATTAAACCAGACAAGACCAGATCAGACCAGACAATATCAGACCAGAACAGACTTCTGTAGTTATAAAATACACAGAAACCAGACGTTTACTAGACCAGACTAGACCATATCAGACCAGACCAAACCAGCAAATTTCAGTCCAAAAGAAAACATCCTTAATGTACGACTCTTGAGATTTGTGAATTTGTGTTAATCTTTTGAAACTAGGAGAGTTGCACACCTAAAAAACTATTTATCTACCGCTAAATATATATAATACATGTTTTTTTTAAGTAATATATACTACGTGTTGAGAATAGGAAACTTGCACCTCTTACACACATTCTTTAAGTTAAAATAAAATAATGTATATATTATACATTACTTATATATTATACACACAATTACTACGTAGTAATTGTGATTGAGTGTATATATACTTGGTTTTAAAAAACGTGTGTGTAATTTATTTATTTATGTGTGTATATATATATACACACATGTATGTGTACATGCATATTATATATGTAGTGTGTAGTAGTAGTATGTGTGTACTGTGTACGTAGTGAGTGAATGTGAGTGCATTTAATTGGGAAATTTTGATTTTGAGTGTATGTCACATAAAAATTTTGATTTTCAGATTTTTATGTGGCATGAGAATGTTAAATCATAAAAAATCATAATTTTTTGGAATGAAGATGCTCTTTAATGGAAGAGATAATCACGCAATTTCATAATCAGCATCTAGGCGTGCCTCGATTTCCTGAATTCCTCCTTGCCAACTCACGTTTCTTACATCATCAACGAACCGAATTACGGTGTATTTGCTGTTAATTCAATTTTGTGTTGTAAAAGTACCTTAACGTACAGCTATATATGAATATAAATGAAATATCTTAACGTGAACGTCTATCATGCTGCATTCAAATAAATTTGAGGGTTTTCATAAATGAAATCGATTTTACGTAGATCAGAACTAGCTAGCACTAGTATTCATTTTATGTACTTCTCATGTTTTATTTCGGTCAAGCTTTCGTATTCACGTCTTACTATGGTTTATATCTTTAAATTTTTTTTGAGTTTTTGCCATTTTTGGTCCCTCGACTATTATGTCAATGACACTTTTGGTACTCGACTTCTAATTGTTCCATTTTTAGTCCTTGACTATTGTGCTAGAAACACTTTTAGTCCCCGACTTCTAGGTTTCCCACATTTAGTCCCTGAGTATTGTCAAATTGACACTTTTAGTCCTCCCATTATGATTTTGGCATAATAAGTAGAGAACTAAAAAAGTCACTATTATAATAGTTGAAGGACCAAAAGTGACACTTTTCTGAAAGTTGAAGGACTAAATATGGAAATTTTCAAAGACGGGTACCAAAAGTGTCTCTAGCGCAATAGTCAAGGACTAAAAATGGAAAAAATCAAAGTCGAGTACCAAAAATGTCAATGACATAATAGTCGGAGGACTAAAAGTGGAAAAAACTCAATTTTTTTTACAAAACTATTTGATTTTTTCTACACAAATTTCATTGGTAAAAATTTCTTATTCAATATACAACAAGTGAGACTTAGTAATTAATCACAAGGCAGAATGTTCAAATAGGAGTAAAAATAGTGTAAGTTTTCAAAATACTATATACATAACCTCGAAGTTGTTATTCCTTTTAAATTGCGTCAATTGACTTAATTTTACATTACAAAAAATAATGGTATTGGCACGAAATTCGCACGGATCCACGACTACGTGCTAAATCCGTACAAAATTCATACGAATTTTGGCAAATCCTACTCAAAAATCCATGGCAAATCTATATTAATATGTTCTTTTGTAATGTTAGAAAGTTGCACACTATTTACTTGACCATTTTTTAAATATCGCCTAGGTCCAATCCATTGAATGACAAAAGTATAATTTCTATTGAACAATAAATTGACACCACGGAGCAAAAAGAATTGACAAAAAAAACTATTTGCATACGAAATTTGTACACATTTTGCACTCATTCTACATAATTGTCTATGCACACAGACAATTTGTACACCCCTATTTGCTTGTGTACAAAGGCAGCTCGTGCAACATTATCTGTATGTACACGCAATTACGCAAATGTGTTCAAAGTATGTACTAGTATAATTTTGAGCCCGTTTGATGACTCTGTCGGGCTTATCAACCAACTTTTTAACTAAACACGTAATTTTTGATTTCGCGTGTTGAATTGTATCATGTTGTATTGTGTATGGTAAATGACCATTTGAACTATTTTTTCATATACAAGTAATTTTTTCTTAATTTTATTTAAAAAATATATTTTAAATACGGAGTATAATTTATTCATAAATATACTACCTCCGTTCTTTAATAAGTGCAACATTACAAATTTTATACTATTCACATGTTTTACTTTGACTGCATTTTATTTATTGATGTATAAATACATATATTTTTGAAAAAAATATTACTAAATTTGTCTCATTGTAAATTTTCAAAATATGATTTTTTTAATTTTTTTTACTAATAGAAAGTTATATATATTAATGGTCAAAGTTATACCTCGACAAATGAAATGTTGACTGTTGCACTTATCAAATTCATTTTGGTGTTAGGCTGATTGTGTATGAGAACAATTGTAAAATCTGTACCCATGAATCATAAGACGGCTGAACTTATCGTCTCACAGTAATCATGGGCCCACTTTTGAAATGCTCAACCAGAAACCTACGGACTACGTGAATTTCGACGCAGAGCTGAGTCATCGCTTACCCCACATACGTGATAGCTACCCCATCTTACGTACGACACGATCATTTTAGTCCGAGAAAACGGATCGGAAAAACGTCTCGTACCGTGAAGCGGTCGAGGAAACACCACGAGAAGCCTAGGCAAGAATAGGTAGGCTCGGGACGGAAAAGTGTGTCACGAGGGAGAGATTTCGGGTCAATTTGAAACAAAGATTTGGATTGAAACTTCACTTTCGTTACCACCATTGAGTCAAAACATAATTACCAAATTGCTATCATATTGATTCTCAACGCTAGAGATGGAGTGTCATCCTTTTTTTAGAGCGATGATTGTACTCTTCCGTGCACCCGCGCTCACTGTGTCCAATCTTTTCGTCTCGGAAATGTAAATATAGTAATTAAAAAAAATAAAAAAAAATGTATATATTACGTAAATGACGTCCACCGTTATTTTTAGTATGTTTTGCAGGTTGAAGGATATGAGGACTTTGAGTTTTTCGGGGAAGGACTTGCAGGTTTCGAAATGTCAGGGAAGGACTTTTCCGGGATATATAAACCCTGCCCCATTGCTTCTCATTTCATCGCCATCTCCAACTTCCCTTCTCTCTTTGCAGAAATTTCCCAGCCCTAATTTCCCATTAATTCTTCAGAGTTGTGTCCTTCAGGATGACTATTGTTGTTGGTCAGCTTCCTTCATTGGGTAATTTTGTTCAATTCCTCTTCAGATCTTATGAATTGGAAGAATCTTTCTTCCTGTTTTTGGTCATTTTTGTTCTGTTTCTATATTCCATTTCTATCATCAAGCGTGCTTTTGGTAAACTCCTAGATTTTCAATCGCTTTTGGGAAGTTCTAATTGAGCACATATTTGTAAAGTCAATCTAAGAAGTCATGATTTCAAATCTTGAACTTAAAAGTATGAAAGTTGTAGGGAAAAAAAGTACCACCTCCTTCCCTGTTTTTTTGTTTTTGACACAATTTTAAATAAAGTGGTTAAAAATGTAAAAGTTGTGGTTAATTGAGATTTGAGTATAGTAAAGTGAGATGTTGTGAACCACATATTCCTTTCCAAAAAGGGAAAAATGACACCTATTTTGGGACAACCCAAAAAGGAAAGTAAAACAGGTAAAATGTATTTTTCTTTTCCGAAAACTCCAGACGGAACGATGTCCTTTTTGTTTTCCCACGGTTCTGTGTTTTGGTGAAATAGATGTCAATACTAAAAGTAGATAACAAGATATCTTCATAATAAAACGACAGGCAATAACTTTTAGATGAAGTTGGGGTAAAATAATTGAAGATGAAACTTTAAGACCATGGACTTGTTTTATTTATTTAAAGAAAATATGTTATAATTTTTTTTGGGAAAACTGTCAAATAGGCCCCCTACTAATACAGAAAAGTCAATTAAGCCTCTGAACTCAAAAAACACTCAATTAAACCCACGAACTATAAAAAACGAGGCAAAACAGTCCTTTTAGCAGGATATTAACCATTCCCAGTTAAGTTGCATGTGTGGCAAATGATGTGGCATGCTTTTACATTTTCTTTTTCTCTTTTTCTCTTTCTTTCCTTTTTTCCTTATCTCTTTTTAACCGCTTAATTACCTGCTAAAAGGACTGTTTTGCCTCGTTATATTTAGTTCGTGGGCTTAATTGGATGTTTTTTGAGTTCGGGGACTTATTTGACACTTTTCCCATTTTTTTTTGTTCAATGAGTTTGACCACAATTTTAGTGCCAAATTTATTATCCTCACTAACATTAGAATTCTCATGATGTGTTTTTGTTGTTCTTGTGAATAAAGAAACACGAATTGAGGTTGAGGAAAATGATATCCGGCAGCAAGATGAAAGGCAATTAGAGTTGGGCAGCGGATTTTCAGTTCCAGATACCAATTCATTCGGCCACAACTTTAGGTATTCTACACTTCTACTACACTTATTTATCTTATCTAAAATATGTATTGATTTGGACCCGTCCATTAATTATAAAATCAAGGTTTATAAATTATGGGAGGAGAAAAATTGAAATGGTTGCAATATCATATTTTTCGTGTAAATATAAAACGTGGATATTTTTCTCTTACTAACACGAAATATCTTTTGATAAGTAATGTGTTGGAATGTTTGCTTCCATTCTTTTTTAGTGGTAAGCGTCCACTTTTCAACACTCACCAACACAGATTTGATCATTAATATTTTTCATTTCTTATTAGTAAAAAAAATTAAAAAGTTCAGGTTTTGAAAATTTTAAATGAGAGGAAATTAATAACAATTTTTCAAAAATTTAATTTATAATACAGTAATAAACAAAATGTAGTTAAATGAGTAGAAATTAGGATATGAAATCCGTAGTATGACTGTATGAGACAACTGGGAATTTTTTTACAAATTGAAAGTAATGCGGAAGGAATTTAATTTTTTATATTAAAACATGTATCCATTATCTTGGTTCACTCAAGATAGTGATTGATGAAATCTTGGGCCCATATTCCCTTATAAATGGACCAAATTCACTTATTTGGGCTTTCCAGAGACTACGTAAACAAAGGCCCTTTTATTTTGGCTTAAATCTTGTTATACCCAAATCCCAATCCCGTCCCGATCCCGATTCAAACTAAAAGAGGATCCCGTATCCCGTCCCGATTAAGTCAGGATCCCAACAATAAAATCCCGATTAAGTTGGGATCCCGATCGGTATTCCCGCTTAATCCCGCTAAATCCCGACAATGAAGTATCAAACATAAAATTATGTAATTTCTTTAGTTAAACACTAACTTTGATATTTAGTGGTTTCAATATTATTCTTTGTTTACTGTTATACCATATTTATCATCATCTACTTATAAAAATTATTGTAATAATTATCATCTCAAACTCACACTAGTATATACTTTTAAAATAATTTTTATTTGTAACTTCAATTAATTAATAGTATAATTTTTGAATAAGCTATCAAGGCTTAGTGAAACTTACTTCAAACAATATATAAAAAACACTAAAAGAAGGATATGTAACGTATATTATTTAAAATTCAAAACTAAGTAGACTCATTGAGAAACTTTGTAACCAATGAATATAATGTGTAAATACATATTATGATTATCTACTAAAGAAAGAAATCTTAGTCTCGATCATAATTTTTTAAAGAGTTCATCAGAACCGCAAAATTTGTAATATTGTATGTTGTGATTTAGATTGTTGGGATCAAGAATAATCTCTACTTAGTTAGGATCCCGAATATTCATTTTCGGACAAATGCCGAATAGTTTTAGAAGTTTGATATTGTAAGATACTCGTAGTAAAAGATTAATCTATGTAAGGAATTAGTAATAAAAAAAGATGTGCAGATATTTAGATACATATTCATTTTTTATATATTCATATATAATTATATACATGTGTGTGTGTGTGTGTGTGTGTGTGTGTGTGTGTGTGTGTGTGTGTGTGTGTATATATATATATAATGTCGGGATGTCGGGATTTTCCCGATCCCGACTTTAAAAAAAAAAATCTCGGTCCCGTCCCGACTTAGTCGGGATCGGGAAAAATTCCCGGTCGGGATCGGGATTGTCGGGATCGGGATTTTCGGGATCGGGATCGGGAGTCGGGAGTTTTTTCCCAGTCCTAATTATGATTATCTACTAAAGAAAGAAATCTTAGTCTCAATCATAATTTTTTAAAGAGTTCATCAGAACCGCAAAATTTGTAATATTGTATGTTGTGATTTAGATTGTTGGGATCAAGAATAATCTCTACTTAGTTAGGATCCCGAATATTCATTTTCGGACAAATGCCGAATAGTTTTAGAAGTTTGATATTGTAAGATACTCGTAGTAAAAGATTAATCTATGTAAGGAATAAGTAATAAAAAAAGATGTGCAAATATTTAGATACATATTCATTTTTTATATATTCATATATAGTTATATACATGTGTGTGTGTGTATATATATATATATATATATATATAATGTCGGGATGTCGGGATTTTCCCGATCCCGACTTTTTTTTAAAAAAAAAATCCCGGTCCCATCCTGACTTAGTTGGGATTGGGAAAAATTCCCGACTAGTCAGGATCGGGATTGTCGGGATCGGGATTTTCGAGATCGGGATTGTCGGGATCGGGATCGGGATCGGGAGTCGGGAGTCGGGAGTTTTTTCCCAGCCCTACCTACAAGTTTAGTTACTTATTTTGGCTTGCATGTTTGAGCTCTTTTATACACACACGTATTTCTTTGCCATTTTTTCTAATGTAGTTGTGAAATTAATTAACATGATTAACTTTGGCTAAACAGGGACTACAATGCAGAAAGTGAGAGACAGGAAGGGGTGGAAAATTTCTACAGGATCAATCATATCAGCCAAACTTATGATTTTGTAAGCTTTGTGTGTATTAGTTTTTTACTCCAATACATATGTGTATTTATATAGAACTTGGACCAAATCAGAATGCGATCAAACAAGATGAAAAAAATGAATTTGTAAAGTTTAATTTGAGAATTCTGCCTTATCTCAAACTCAAATATGCACCGAGAAAAGCTTGGTGACATTTTTGTAAATAAATTGAACTTATTCCATTGTTGCGGACTGTGCAGTGCATTATTTGAACAAAAAATGTGCAACTCCTGTGCACCATTTTTGCATCTTTCTCATTTCTTACGATAAGATCTATTAGATATAACTGGACCCTATATATACACACGAAGTATATTTCGGCTATAAGACATGATAAAATTAAAATTAATTAACCTGAATCAGCATCATATCATTTATAGTTTGCTTTATGTTTCTAACTGAATCACCCAAAACTGATAAATTCAACAACAAAAAACATTAAAATCTCTATTCATGTGTAGCAAACCTAAAATAAACAAAATTTGTTGTTGATTTGGTTGATATGTATATATACATTTTGCTTTAAACTACACAAAAAAGAACTTCAAAAGATCATATCGCTAGATGCCATCCAAAGGGCTACTTTAATGTAACAAGATTGATTGTTAGCTAAAAGAAAGTTATTTATGTGATTTTTATTTAAATAAATTCAGGTCAAGAAGATGAGGGAAGAGTATTCAAAATTAAACAGGGTGGAAATGAGCATTTGGGAGTGTTGTGAGCTTCTAAATGATGTGGTGGATGATAGTGATCCCGACCTTGATGAGCCTCAGATTCAGCATTTGTTGCAAACTGCTGAAGCCATTAGGAAGGACTATCCAAATGAAGATTGGCTCCATTTGACTGCACTCATCCATGGTAAGAATTACAAGTCTACATTGTGATATCATTTTATATGAGTATACAATGTTAGTCTCGATGTTAAGATTTAGGGAACAAGGTGACAACAATTTTATACATTTAAAATAAATGTTACGACGTTCTACACACATGTAACCAGGGGCGGAGCCAAGGGGGGTCAGGGGGGTCAGCCGACCCCGCTGAAACACTACGCCATTGAAAATGTTGGAATAAGGAGCTATCCCTTATATATCTCTTATAACTAATAGGGGAATGACCACTTATTAAATCCCTTATTAAAATTTCCTTATATCTGTTTCCAATAACGGCTCATCCCCTTATTATCATTACTACGGATTAATAAGGCAAAGGCCCTCATATAATTCATACGTGGAAGATTGATAATGTGAGCCTTGTATAAGGAAGTAATAAGGCCGAATCCGTTATTGGCTTTATTTATAATAAAATTATCTTTTCCCCAGAAAAACAATTGAGTTTTCAGTATTAAATTGTACTCCGTATTTCACTCCGTATTGGGAAAGCGTACAAAATACATTCGAAGCATTAAATAATTCAAAATAAAAAAGAAATTGAAATACAGCAGCAAATCAAATCAATGGATAATGGAATATGTGATTGTCATAAACCCAACTCAATACAATTCAATGATTCTACCAGACAGACAGTAGACAGAATCAAGTTCAATAATCAAGATAATACACTATACAAATACGTATTACAATATACTCCCTCCGTCCCTTATAACTTTGCCAACTTTCCTTTTTTGGATGTCCCATTAACTTTGCCACTTTCCCTTTTAAGTAAAGAATTTGTGGTTCCAGTTAATTCTCTCTCTTCTGCACAAACCTCAACCACACAGTTTTTACTTTATTAATCTCCGTGCCGGTCAAACTTGGCAAAGTTATTAGGGACGGAGGGAGTACTTCGTAGCTAATATCATTACATTTAGATCACAAACTAAGTTTTAGCTAATGTTGTTGAAGCTGATCCCTCCTCCCAGTTGGTGCCGTAGACCAAATGTGTAGCATCCTCCCAAATCTTATCAAATGTGTAGCATCCTCCCAAATGTGTAGCATCCTCCCAAATCTTATCAAATATGTGAACACTTGGTGTCATAGACCTCCTGAAAATATTGCAAATGTAAGGATTAGCCCAAACTGTGAAGACATGTCCTAAATACAGCAAATGACTTGAACACGCTCAATATCAACATTAATAAGTTACAAGGAAACTCATTAATATGAATACAAGTTTATGAAATCGAATTGATAATATTAATGCAAGTCATATTGTATTAATACTACAAATACATAAGAGATTCGCATAACTGGAGTACACTACATGTGTTTGTCGCATACCCGGAGTTAATTCGAGGAAGACGAAGTCATTTTAAACACTCGGAAGAAGGATAGACAACGGCGGTGTAGAATCAACAATGAATGGGTCAGACGAAGAATAGGCAACGGCGGTGTAGAATCAAGACCAACTGTGCCCCGACGGCAAACATAAAACACACTGAAGAGAGGCCGGTTGATGACTCGAAGGCGCCGCCGCTCTTCAAGTTCAGAGTGCTGCTTTTAGGGTTGGAAAGAGATGTAAAGTTTCTTTTATACGGCATATTTTCACAAATTTCAACTTACACCACATACTCAATTATAAATTAAATTTTGGCCCAAATGTAAGTTTAAACAAAAACAATCGTATCTGATGGGTGTGGATTTGTAAGACTCAAATTCTCTAAATGTTTAATCGAATAATCATTAGTCACTAGTCATCATAGAAGTACGATCCTCCGTTCTTTAATTCTTGCAATAATTTGGCTTTTACGTTTGTCAACGCACAATTTTGACTGTAATTATGTTTAATATGTATTAGTAAACTTTATAAAAAGTTGATATTTTGGAAATTCACATTGATAGGAATTCAATAACATTTTATACGCAATGATTTGATTATGTATATTAGTATAAAATCGTGGTCAAAGTAAGATATGAGAATAGTGTAAAAATCACAATGTTGCAAGAATTAAAGAACGGAAGAAGTATAAGATAAGACTACTATTATTTGAGATTTATTAAAATATATACTACTCAAACACATTTTATTTATAAAAATAGGACCAAAGTTGACTAAGATTATGACTAAGATTAATGTTATAGTCACTATACATAAGAGGTTTAATTTTGAAAACAACATTTATTTTAATTATAAATGTGCAATTACTTATTAATAATTAAAATAATCATATATAAATGCCACAACAACATACATGTCGTCTCACAAGTGCATTACTCAGTCTTCTGCGCACATGACCAAACCATCGCAATTGAGACTCATGCATCTTATCTTTTATATGTGTTACTCCTACCTTTTGTCTTATTATCTCTGTTCTCAAATGATCTTTTATAGTGTGTCCACACATTCAACACAACTTACGCATCTCCGACGCAGTTATCTTCTGAATGTACGTGACGTGTTGCTTCATTGTCCAACACTCTATGTCATACATTAATACAGGTCTAATAACTATTCAATAAAATTTACTCTTTAGTCTAGTTAGCATAGCTTGACCACATTTACATCCTGAGGCACTCTTCCATTTCACCCATTATGCTCTAATTCTACGGGATACATCTTCATCTAATTCACCATCCTACTGAATTATGGAGCCCAAGTAGGAACATACCACACTCCGGTATCTCTTTGCCATCAAGGGTAATCTCACTTTCACTACTACTTCTACCTCCACCAAACTTGCACTTCCTATTCTCGGTCTTGCTTTGGCTCGGTCTAAATATCTTGATCTCTAATGTTTCTTGTCATACTTTTGACTTTGTTTTAACACCCGATTGTGTCTCATCAAGCAATACAATATCGTCGACAAACATCATGCACGCATCACAACATATCTTCTTGAAAATACATGTTATTCACTATATGCCTCTTTCTCCTAAACTTCTTCAGGTCTCGATTGATATGCTATCTTGGCCCATTGCTTTCTTCCTCCTCTCATTCTGAAAGCCTTTTTAACTATTGTAGGGATCTAGCTTCTCGTAAAGGCCTAATTTACCATATAACCTGGTATAGTAAAATCATCAATACCTTGCATTTTATTCCCATTGAACACAGTATCAAAGTAGGGGTGGACATAACGGTTTGATTTAACCCAAACCGTACTGTACTGAATTGAACTGAAACCAAATCATATGCAATTTGATTTGAGTTTGGTAGTATTTATTCTAAATCGTATCAAATTGAAATGTACCGATAAAAATCGAACTGTCCATTGATATGTACATATATACAAATAAGTGTGAGAATAAAGATGTTTTTAATTGAATTAAAATTTTCAAATTTGGTCTACCTTGTTTAAATCTGACATGATCTAAGGAAATAAATGTTTGCTCAAATTGGTCTAATTTAGTTGGTGACTAAGGATGTTTTTACTTGGACTGTAATTTGCTGGTTTGGTCTGATCTAGCCTGTTTAAGTCTGATCTTGTCTGCTTAAGTCTGGTCTGGTCTGAACTAGTCTGATCTGGTAAACGTCTGATCTCTGTATATTTTATAACTACGGAATTTAAGTGGTCTGGTCTGATCTGTTTAAGTCTGGTCTGGTCTATTTAAGTCTGGTCTTGGACTGAAACTAGTCCAAGTAAAAAAAATCCTAAAATAAGTCAAATTAAATAGGTCTACAATATAAAAAAGATAATCCGAAAATTGTTTATCTATGCTTGTGACTAAAATAATTGACATCTGTTTTATGGGGAATATTATTGAAGAGATACGTGATTTTTTAAAGTATAGAAAATCATGTGAAGAAAATAGGGGATGGTCTTATTAAAAAACAAAATAATAACAAGGGATAGTCCCTTATTAATCTCTCATAACCACTGAAATTTTCTGGATAAGATTTTCTTCCGGTTGTATAAGGGAGCTGGGGTCATTAATTCCTTATAAAGGTTGTGGCCATGTCAGCATAATTTAATAACAAAGGGATTGCTTATAAATCCCTTATAGGATTTCATAGTCAAATGTAAGACTATCTTTGCAATAAGGGGTGAATGACCAACGTGTGTTATAACGAAGTTTCCCTTATTGTGGCCCTTATTAATTTTCAGTCATTCACGTAGTGAAAGTATAAAAGTATAGAGTTCTAAAATATCTTCGATTTGATATATTATGACCCCCGTAACTCATTACGAGTAAAAAGTTATGACTTCTGCAAAATCAGCATTATCTAAACGGAATATTAGCAAAATTTAATGCATACTATAGATTATTTTGCCAACTTTTAAAAATAGAGGATAATTCACTCAATACTTACGTGACACGACTCAGAAACAGAGTAAAGACAATCTATCTTATTACTACGAGTGTCTATTGATCTAAACCACATATCAAATATTCAAATTGGACATTATTTAAAAACGATCCAAAATTTTCTTTCTGTATATAGGTTTAGTTTCGAGTTTCGACCCCCTGAGTCATTTTTCTGGCTTCGCCCCTGCATGTAACACTCTTTGGGGGAAAGAACCACAAGCAATGTTACACTTACATGTCCTTCAAATGCTATAATTTACGAGATTATTTAGAGTCACACTAAATCATTTCCAATAGTGTAGCTAGGTTTGGAGAATTCGGACCCCAATCTATCCTAAAGTTTGTGATAAAAAATAAGATTTTTATCCTAACAATTATTTCGATGAATTATTTTCCCAACCATCCAAATTTTAAATTTTAAGAGGCCTTCTTTATCCCAGGCCTTCAACTATATTGCCTAAATCTTAACTAGCTAGCTTGATTGTATTATCTGAACTTGTAACGTATCATTGTATTGGTTTTAGATTTGGGAAAGGTTCTTCTACTTCCGAGTTTTGGAGGGCTACCTCAATGGGCAGTTGTAGGTGACACATTTCCTGTAGGGTGTGCTTTTGATGACTCAAATGTCCATTACAAGGTCTCTTTCTGCTCTTCTTGACTTCCTCTCCCCATTGATTAGTTGAAAATGACATATATCATAAAACATCTTATTTGTAATATTTTGCTTATACATATTATCATTTTCTTCTTATTTTTATTAATTTTTTATTTATATTTCTTTAGTACTTTGCGGAAAACCCGGATTACTCTAACCCTGCTTACAATACAAAGTATGGAGTTTATTCTGAGGGTTGTGGTCTCAACAACGTTATGATGTCTTGGGGACATGATGACTACATGTATATGGTATGAGATACCTTATTGTTTCATCTATTTCAATTTATGTGTGTGTGTTATAATAATAAAAAAAATCGTTGATATCTTGAGCAGGTTGCAAAGGAGAACGGAACTAGCCTACCATCACCTGGCCTCTTCATCATCAGATACCACTCCTTCTATGGTAATATTGCAGAAGAAAATTAAATAATGAACTAAATTAATTAGAAAATGATAGAGTTTCAATACTACTCGTCCTATTTTGGCATATCATCATACCCAATAACCCAATGATGAAATAGGAAACACATCGCTATTGAATTTAGAAAGATTAGCCATATGAGATATTTAAGTTGTTTTGAATTAAAATAATGACTTAGAAAACTTGTCGTTTGGGTCATTCGACAAAAGTGATTTTGGAATCTACATTGCATTAATTTGACTCGACATTTTATCAAATTGGTAGCACAAACAATATAAAGTTTTGTTAGTTTAATAGTTTGAATGCGATTGAGTAATAATTGTCATCATCTTTTTGTATCTTATAAATATCACATACATCTAATCATTCACACATAGTAATTGAATATATATTTATCATGTGTGTAGTTTTTTTGTAATTATGACCAAATAAGTATACAAGAGTGTGGTTTGTTTTTTAAAATGTAATGTTAACAGAATTAATGAACTACGGCTACATACTTGCATTTATTGTTACAGCTTTACACAAGGGAGGAGCTTACAAACACCTAATGAATGAGGAGGATCATGAGAACCTAAAGTGGCTTCTTATCTTCAAGTAACTTAATTACTAACATTTACTTTATTTGGGTTAATTTTAATGAGTGTACAATCTAATTATTAACACTATCATTCTGATTATATGGGCTATGTAATGTTTTTTGCAGCAAGTATGATCTCTACAGCAAGAGTAAGGAAATGGTTGATGTCCCAAAAGTGAAGCCCTACTACCTCTCCTTAATAAACAAGGTAAACTACGAGTAAATTATTATTTACAATATCGTTTCTACAAAAAAATAGTCTATACTAAATTTAATACTATCATACATATTTTCAATTTTTTTCCTATTCTTAGAATGAAATTAATAATTTACGTGATATGTTATCTTTACTGAATTGCAGTATTTCCCTGAAAAGCTTAAGTGGTGAACCTGTGCAAAAATGAGAAATAGCAAAGAGAATAGATGAAGTATATGTTGATCACATACATGTAATGATCATATGATCGCAGTACCTTGTTTACTAAGAAGTTTGTTTGTTTGTTCGTTTGTTTATTTGTTTTTAAAATTGTCATCTTGTAATAATTTACCGGTCATGTGTATTAGTGCTTGCACTTCACCATCAAATCAAACAAATGTTGGTAGAATTTCGAATTTCGAATAGTTTTTTCATAAGAAAGAATAATAATAATAATTGTCCAAATTTATTTATCCTTGTATAACTTTAACATTACTACCTTCTCTTTCTTTTATTCTTTGACTTACGGCCGCTTTACGAGATAATGTGGTATTTAGTATGATATATTTAAGATCATTATTCTTAATAGGGAAAATTATTTTAAATCATACAAACTATGTTCCATAAACCAAGGATAATACGTACTTTGGAAGTAACTTTTAATAATACCAACTATTTAAATTTAGACCAAAAGTGATGTAGAGCATTTCTTCATAAAAAATTCGGTCATTTATTTCATCAAAACCTAATATCATAATATCAATAAGTGATTGTATTTCCAAACATCATTTACTTGATGGTTTGTTATTTGTCTTTGATGTCTCAATTCTCAAATGACTGGATTTCTTGTCAAAAAGTGACTTCATATTATTTTGGGAAAATGGAAACTAATAATCCAACCTTTTAGCAATCTTCTTACAATGGTCTCACCTTTTCGTTATTCAAGAATAATTCAACCTTTGCACCTCATCTTCATTCGTTGGTCCCTGACCTGTTAATGACTCGCTATTCCAAGTTATTTTCTTATCTTTGCAAAATATTATCTTTGTGAAAGGTGAGATTTATGGTATAATGGTTTGCAAAGATAAGAAAATAACTTGGAATAACAGGTCATCAACCAGTTAGGGACCAGCGAATGAAGATGAGGTGCAAAGGTTGGATTATTCATGAATAACGAAAAGGTGGGACTATTGTAAGAAGACCGTTAAAAGGTTGGATTATCAGTTTCCATTTTCCCTGTTATTTTTGTATTATATTCCAAATGTTGGTATAAGTAAAAATCATTTTCAAAGTATGTATCATTGTTGGTTTATGGGTAATAGTTGATATTATTTACAATTATTTTTACTTTTTAATATTAATAATGTTTACATTTTCCTTTTACACAATTCATATAAGATGATATTTAAACTGCTTCCACTTAACTTTCAATCAACCTTCACACTTGTGACCCGTTCGTTAGCCTACTGTGTAGTATATGACCCAATTATGCATACAAAAGTTAACTAGAGTAATACTTACCTAACATCAATGGATCTTAACCCCTTGCATACTGGAAAAGTTAAATGACTCGTGATATCCTTCATTATAGTCGTCATTCTTGATTTTAGATTCACTAATCAAATTACAAGTGAACAGCACATTAGTTTAAGACATGTGTGGTTCCCATTTGAGGGAAAAAATTTGAGTCTCACGATAGATAAGTAAAAAGAAAATGCTACATATCTAAAAGAGAAAATACAACCCTCATTTCTTCATTAAACAGATCATAACTTGTCGTGTTACCAAGGGTTAATCTAAACTTGTAAGAGTTGATTAGACTATAGTCTTTTGTTCCATTATGAAACTTTACTATCCTCTCTATTTTTGTCATGAAAGATTAGCAAAATATCAGCTAGACGTCTCCATTTCTGTATTCATGGTGACTTACATAAATATGTCTATATGCATCATCCCTCTTAAGGTAGTTTGAGGTTCTCATTCATGTTGTTGTTGTTGTAAATAAACAAAAGTTCATTTTATTCAAACTCTGTCTTGCTTTCGAGAATGGCACACCCTTTCTCAACCTAACAATTGATGGGTATCTATTGTACCTCATTGTAACACGGTCCAACACTAATTATTCTAGTAATATCTGATCTTATTTTTATCTATGCAATATCTCTCTCATTTTAATACCTAACACGATATTGTTGCATTGTTTAGTGTCTATTTAACCTCACTATAACACAACCCAACACCAATTATTCTAGTAATTTCTTGTCTCATTTTTTCTCACTTGATAGTTGATATGTTTGGACCAAATCCCTTCATGTGGTCTGTTATCTCAAACCAACTCCTAATTAAAGTGTCCTCTTTTCTGTAAACTATTTACTCTGATCCATATTTAGTGTGATGCCGATTGGGCATCATATTTCCGTTTTGAGACGTCTATGAATCATTCTGAGCTATAATGCGACATGGTCACTAATGCCTTAGAAATCACCGGGCTTCATCTTATTTGGGTGAGTTAGATATTCCTTCTCATATGGCTCATCGCCATTGTCATAGTCAAGTGCCTTTACACATTGCTAACAATTTAGTTCTCAATGAACATATAGTAAACATATCAAGATATGTATCATTCTTGTTCTAATAATTGTATTGTTGAATTGGTTCTGGAATGATTTTTTATTTTACCCAAGGGGGCGTCAGGGGGAGGGGTTTAGGGGGGCCTGGGGTAAATTAGAAAATAAAAAATTTCTTTTGTATTTTTTTTGAAAATCATTATCTTTTAGAGCATCATCAACGCAGGCTTTCTAGTTCCGATTTAGTCTGCCACTTCATCATAATTAGACATTGTGTTTTTATTTAGTCCTCCAATGCGTGTAGTCTTTTGCTGATATGGCAAAAAAAACCTAAACAGCGTGAAGGTTAACGTCCGAGTGTAGAAAGCCGTCGAAACTTGCTGACTAGACAAAAATAGGCGCGGCTTCACCGAAAAATCAGAGGGAAATCGAAAATTCAAGAGGGAAATCGAAAACAACTCAAGAGGAAAATCGAAAACTCAAGACCTATATAATGAACACTCTTTGCCGAGCTGCCACAAATAAATCATTCTCTCTGGTATTTCTATCACCGAAGAAGCTCTGGCATCTCTGCAATTGGCCGATTCATTCTGTTTTTTGGGAAAACTAGGTTAGTTTTCGACATATCCAAACATTGTTTTTCCAGTTTTTCTTCAAATCAGGCCATCAGGGTTCCTCCGTGTTTGGGTATGTATTTCTAAAGCTTTAATGTGCTAATTAGGGAGATATCACCATTTCTTTTTAATTCTTATTTTTTCTCTTTTATATGTGTTCTTAATTTTGTTAGTGAATTGTTACATGAATTTAGTTTCTCTTTAATTATTTATTCTTGCTCTTTGTATATGAGTTCGTAGTTTGGCCAATTGCTGGGTTTTAATGTGAATGTAAATTCTCCAATATTTGATCCCCTGGAAGAGTATGGCATGATTTCTTTGATTCTTTATTGTTCTTCTCTTAATATGAGTTACGGAGTATTAGTTTTGTGAATTGCTAGATTTGAAGGTGAATTCCTAATTTCTTATCTCATGGTTTCCTATGATTTATTTGGTTTCATGATTTGTAAGTGTTCAGGTGTGTGGATGTGTGTTGAGCAGGAGCTTGAGGGGGCTCTTAAAACTGATACAAAGCAAATATTTTTGTAGTATAAAGAGTGTTTCCTTGGGTTGAAATGGGTGTGAAAATAAGATTGTTTGGTTGAGTTATTAAAAGAGAGTTATGTTGGTGTTCGGTTAATTGTTTCCAGTATACTATATGATAGTACCTGAACTCCTGCAAGCCATATATTATACTCCGTATATGCATAAGAGCAAAACTAAGTCATCTTTATTCACAAAAACTTGACCTACACATTACAATTTCAATATTGTAAAAACTATTATAATGCTTATTACAAAGCTTAAGATTAAATTTGATACTCTGTAATATGAACTGAACTCGTTAGTTCAAGTTTAAACAGTTCACTTCACTTCTAGTGGAAACTGAAAGCATATGTTTACTTTACCTCACTCACTTTACTTCACTATATTCTACCAAGTTGTACTTTGCTTTCACTTTATTTTTACTTTACTTGATGTGTTGCGATTCATTGGATCCTAATTTTCTATTGTGCAAATAAACGAAAAATGGCTATTTCTCTTCTTGTTTTCAACTTCTACGAAAAATCATTGAAATTAAACTTTAATCACAAAGCATTATAAGTATCATAGTAACTGTAGAGTGAAATTTGACAATATTATGTTCAAAGTAAAGGATTTGATGTATTCTGGATGTTTTGAACCATTTTGGGAGGCAAACAGTATTGTGGTTTTTTCTAATGTATAGGAACAATTTGGATATGGATCCTGGATGTGATCAGCTTCCCAACTCCCTACATCCTACTTTTGTTAATCTTCCCAATCAAACTCCAAATCAGTTTCCTAGTAGTGATCAGCTTCCAAGCTCCCAGCGTCCTCCTTATGTTAATCATCCCAACCAAACTCCAAATCAGTTTCCTGGTAGTGATCAGCTTCCAAGCTCCCAACGTCCTCCTTATGTTAATCTTCCCAGCCAAACTCCAAATAAGTTCACGACATCAATAAGTCCCCAATTTCATCCTTCATATCAATTTAATACCATGAATGGTTCTTGTTCTCCGTATACTAACCTACATTATGGACCTCCTTTTCCAATCCAAAATGTTTTGAACACTCCAGTTTTTCCAAGTGGAGCCACAGAAACTCATACCACACGAGGAGGAGGAAGAAAGAAACCGAAAGATGTCCATAATAATTCCAATGAAACATCAGTTATGTGGAGTTCCGAAGAAGATATTGCATTAACACAAGCATGGTTACGTATCTCTACGGATCCTGATGTTGGTAACAACCAGAAGCATATAGCTATGTGGGAGCGAATCTTACAAGTTTGGAAGGATAACATGGGAGATCATTGCAAAAAGCCCAGGAATAGTAACAGCTTGCAGTGTCGGTGGCAAAAAATACAAAAGTCCATTAGAGCATCTTCAATGGTACAATGTGCACGGTGCACACGTGGCATGAGAGATGACCACATAAATATTAGTAAATAAATTATTTCTCTCCTTATTTGAATGATTTTATACAATTTTGGTAAGTTTTTCTCCACAATGTCAAGGAGACTGTCTAATGTTGACATTGTTGTTGACATTGCAGGGAAAAACTTACCAAAATTGTATAAAATCATTCAAATAAGGAGAGAAATAATTTATTTGCTAATAATTATGTGGCTATCACTCATACCACATGTGCACCGTGGACATTATAGCATTGGAGATGCTCTTAACAAGTTCCATGGGATTTATGAGAAACTTGAAAGGCATCCACAAAGTGGTTCGAACCCAGAAGACATAGTAAGTATTACTTTAAGTGTTACAGTTTTTATATTTTCATTACATTTGAGTAGTTTAAATCTTT